ACCAGACCCGAAACGTTAACTCTGTTTTTTCCCTTCACAGATGCTGCCAGACCTGCTGAGCTTTTCCAGCAACTTCTGGTTTTGTTCTAGATCTACCTCTGGTGGCTAAAGGGATCAGGGAATATTGGGGGAAGGGTGGGATTAGGGTAGCAAATTGGGTGATCAACCATGATCATATTGAATGCTGGAGCAGGCTTAAGTGGCCAACTCCCGCTCCTGTTGTCCATGTTTCTTATGTTAATTTTCCAAAAAATAAGTAGCAACAGACATACAAGCTGCCAGAGAAAGTCCACAGGGTGGGGATACTACCAGGTCTGCTGAACTTTTCTCCGTTTCTCAGCATCTGCAGGGTTTTTGCCTTGTATTTCCAATACAGGAACTGGATGAATGTTTGAAAAGTGGTAAAACAATTGTAGGATTATGTGTGGGGGCGAAAAAAAGAGTGGGGGAGATGCTGAGGGGCTACAAATTGGGTATATCTTCCTAGCAGGACGGGCTGAATGGCCTCTTCCCTACTGTGAGCCCCACATTCTGTAGGAAATCCCACCGTGATCACACCAGATCCTTCATATAACCTCCTGGTGACCTTCAATGTAACAAATTAACTAAAACCGTAAGAACTGCGGATGCTGGAAGTCAGAAACAGAAATGGCTGGAAAAGCTCAGCAGGTCTGGCAGCATCTGTGGAGGGAGAAAGCAGAGTTAACGTTTCGTGTCCAGTGACCCTTCCTCAGAACCCTGCCAGATCCGCTGAGCTTTTCCAGCCATTTCTGTTTCTGTAAACAAATTAATTACTTGAAACAAGACTAATTGGTAAACGCCCCTTAAAGGAAGACTCATCAACCTAAAACAAAACTCCAGCAGAAACTAATGGATTAAGTAAATCTTGTCCACGTATATTTTCGATGTCAAACTGTTTAACTGGTTAATTTAGAGTGAAGCCTGGGGTTGGATGGACGGGAATGTTAAAACACACGGGCTGGTGGCGGAGGTGACTGTTTTAACACGAGGGACTGAGGGGTAACGAAAACATTTTTGTTCCCTGCTGGGAGGGGAGTCACTTCTAGAGAAAGACATGGCTCCCTCAGAGAGGACTCTGGATTGTAGACCCTTCAAGGAGAGGCGTAGTTTGGGTGAGGGTTTTATTTTTCTTAAAAAAAAAATCTTCCTCATCGTGAAATGCACTTGTCAATTCCACTCTGTTTACAGCTGTGTTTCCAATCTGCTTTTAAATCTAGTTCTTAAAACCTTTTTTGTTTAAATTCTGCTTCTCTTTCAGTCGTTTCAGAATTTTGTTTAGAAATCAAATTATTCACGTTTGTTTGTTTATTGTTGACTTTTTTTTGTTTTGTTTAAGCTTTGAGGAGAAGTGAAGTAATTAACATCCGCAGGAAATACCCTAACAAGCTACCGGTCAGTCAAAAAGTTTTCTTTTTATTATTTCAAATGGTGAGGGGTGGAATTGAAAGGAGGGGGTTAGTGTGCAAGGAAACGGTGTACAGCTGCAATGGCTGAGCCTCTCCCTCCATCCTTGCTTTTTAGTATAAATCCCTTCCCTTCTGCAAACGTAAAAGAAAGAAAAATCAGTTGAGGCTACCCTCTGTGCACGACTCTGTAAACCTGTTAGGTCATCATTACAGAGAACTTTTTAACACAGTAACGTTTGTTTGTTTTTAACCTGTAACTTTGCACTAGCCAGAACACGCTACACTCAGATGAGTGCGTATTTATTGGGACGATACTATTTCCAGATAACTTTTTTCTTGTGTTTTTATTCAACACCAGACTATTAGAATTTAAACATCAGGTGAATAATTAAATCTGCTTATGTATTAAAGGCTCCAGGACTTCTTAAAGCTAATGTTTGCCTTGTTTCTAGCTTCCCCCCCCCCACCCCCCCCAAAAAAAAACTGGGAACTGTCACCTTCTGGGGTGCTCCATACAATGATTTGAAAAATAAACAGATCCCTCAGGGAGAGACTTTAAACCATGAGTGGAATTTTGACTGAATCAGTAATAAATCTGGAACATATTGTTGCTCAGCAACTGTAATCATGACTTGATTTTAAAACCCCTTTTGGGTCACTAATGCCCCCTTTTTTTTTAAGGGAAGGAAATCTGCCATCTTTACTTGCTCTGGCCTATTTGTGATTCCAAACCTACAGCAACTTGATCAACTTTTAACTGCCCTTTGAAGTGAATCATTTTCAATTCAAGTAATGAATGTTGGTTAGGACAGCACTTAATGCACCCAGAGAAGGTGCTGCTGAGCTGCCTTCACAGTATCATTCCACAGGGAGTTCCAGGATTTTGGCCCAGTGATGCTGGATTCCTGTTTCCAAGTCAGGATGGTGTATGGCTCAGAGAACGCGCAGGGGATGGTGTTCCCATGTATCTGCTGCTCTGTCTTCTGGATGGTAGAGGTTATAGGTTTGGAAGGTGCTATCTAAGGAGCCTTGAGTTGTTGCAATGCATCTTTGTAGGTGGTACATAATATTGAGTGCCAGTGGATGTGGTGCCGATCGAGCGGGGGCTGCTTTGTCCTGGATGGTGTCGAGCTTCTTGTGTGTTGTTGGAGCTGCCCCCATCCAGGGGCAAGCGGGGAGTATTCCATCCCACTCCTGACTTGCAGTGGACAGGCTTTGGGGAGTCGGGAGATCGGTTACTCATGGCAGGATTCCCAACCTCTGACTAGCTCTTGTAGCCAGAGTATTGAAAAGCCGGTCTACTTCTGTTTCTGGTCAACAGTGATCTCTCCCCCCCCCCCCAAGGATAGTGATGGATTCTAGTTTTCCCTATCCATTTGGCTAATACTACAGGAGGAGCAATGGGAGTAAATGGGATTATTGGCCTTTGTTGACTGTTATGGCATTTTGTATGTGTATACCTCTCTCTCTCACACACACAGGTGATTGTGGAACGATACCCAAAGGAGAGATCCCTACCTCATTTGGACAAGTCAAAATACCTTGTACCTCTGGAACTCAGCCTATGTCAGTTCATGATCATCCTCAGGTACAGTTGACCATGTTAAATCTCCCAGCACCACCACTCTCCTCCCAAGGATTACAGAGGTCATGGGGATAGCTTTGGGGGAAACAAAGTGGGTGCCTGCTAGAGGGAGGGGGAGATGTGTAGGGGTTCCTGTTACTGACTGCTTCCCAATACCCTGGATGGTCTTTAGGACACTGGGGAGAGGGCGGAGTTGTAGTAACTGACCGATCGGTCTCTGAAAAAATCTCTCTTTCAAAAAGACAGATTGGATTTTGTTTCTAAACAAAGTTGCTGGAAAAGTCTGGCAGCATCTGTGGAGGAGAAATCGGTTAATGTTTCGGATCCAGTAACCACCTCTTCAGAACTAGTAGCTAGGAAAAGTCAGATTTTATGCATCAGATAAGGGGGGAGGGGGGTTGAGGAGTCAGCTATAGGTGGAGACAGAGCCCAAAGAGACAACACCCAAAGGAGTGGATAAGTCTGCCAGACAGACAGACAGATTTAGCGGCATGTGGATTTATTGGGACTGAAGCCATCGATTCTGATCCTTGCGCAGAGATCTGATTCCTCTCCTTACCAGCTGCCTGTGAGTAATCTGGTCTGTTTGCAATCTTAGAGTCACACTTGACCCTGAGATAAGCTCCTGATGTCCCTAAGGACAGCCTGTCTCCCAGCTCATCTGCTGAAATCCTCACTCCTCCTGCCCCTATTTTGCCTCTAATCGGGATGATGCCCAACTGATTATCCAAATTCAATCTTTAAGTTTGTCATCAATCTCTGGCGACTTAGTTCTCAAGCTAATGGTCTTGTTTTCCTGTTGTTTCCGCTCCCCGCCCCCCCCCCCCCCCCAACTCAGTCGAATCAGGCAACACCTGAATGTTGAAATTCTCACTCTGTTTTCAATTCCTCCCAGACCTCTTCCTTCTCTTCCCAATCCTACATTCCTTTTTTTCTGTAACCTCCTCCAACCCTTTTCTTGACCTGTGCTCTGGAATTCCAATTGAATCCTCTTCTACATTGCAATGTCTGTTGTCCTGACCATTGGCAACTGAGGAACCTTAGATCCCTGAAACATCTCCACCTTTCTCTAATGCAGCTCTAACTCCCACCACCCCCCCATCTCCCTGCAATACAGTCTGTCACTTTAGTCAGTGTTAGCTCCTTTTTTTTGGCCATTGTAATGATTGGTTCCCACTCTCTCCTTCTAAGCCTGTCTCATTGGTCCAATCCAGCTTTCCTTCACTATTAGACCCAGTGACAGGGCGGCATGGTGGCTGTGGTTAGCGCTGCTGTCTCACGGACCCGGGTTCGATTCCAGCCTTGTGCAAACTCAACACAGGCAGTTGCCTGTTCTCCTAGTGTGTGTGTGGGTGTTTCCTCCCACAGTCCAAAGATGTGCAGGTTAGGATGGATTGTCCATGCTAAATTGCCCATAGTGTCCAGTACCTACAGGCTAGGTGGTTTAGCTGTGGGAAATGCACAGTTACAGGGATATGAGTGGGTGAGATGATTAGGGCAGCACGGTGGCTCACAGCGCCAGGGACCCGGGTTTGAGTCCACCCTCAGTTGACTGTCTGTGTGGAGTTTGCACATTCTCCCTGTGTCTGTGTGGGTTTCCTCCGGGTGCTCCAGTTTCCTCCCACAGTCCAAAGATGTGCAGGTTAGGGCGGATTGGCCGTGCTAAATTGCCCCGTAGTGTTCAGGAATGTGTAGATTAGTGGGGGGATGGGTCTGGGTGGGATGCTCTTGGGGTCAATGTAAACTTGGTGGGCCAAAGGGCCTGCTTCCACACTAGGGATTATAAGCAGGAACAGCTGATTATATTTCCAAGTGGGGCTTGGAGGAGACCTTGTGTTCTCATCCAGCTGCTGCCCTTCCCCTTATCAGGAAGGGGAATAGATTCAAAGTTTGGAGAGTGCTTTCGATTCCCCATACTTGGTGAATTGCCACTTTCCCTTTTTTTGTTTTGAAGCTGGGAGAGTTTGGAGGGTTTAATTTCTAGCAAACTGGAATGCTAGGCTGTGTTGAAGTTATCACACTTGGTCAGTCTGGTACAGGGCTCTGAGCAGGTCACATCCATTCACTGGAAACTTTCAGCCAATGAAGTGACCTTGAACTCTAGAATGAAAGTTGGAAGGAGGAAATGGTTCAAATGGGCTGAAGTCTGAAACGCTTGACCCTGAACCCAACAGTGATGCTTTGTATGTAGCGGATCTCACTAAGCCACTCCACTCCGCTAGAAATATCCAACTGGTCAAGTCCACTTCAATATCCGAATACCATATCAAACATCTCGCATGAAATAGTGTACAGTACACATTAGCAATCACTTTATTCCTTCCTGGTATCTTTGCCTGAGAAATATTACACACATTCAGGCTAAAAAGTTTATTTATTTACAAGTTTTAAAATATGTAGAAACAGACTGCATAAGTTAATGCAAAGAGTTAATGCTCTTTTTCAAATCTTTATTTTTTTGCACTGCCTGTAGACAAACATCAGGACTTTCTGGGTGGGGAAAGATTACTAGATGGATGCAACTTGATTTTGAAGTTAATTGTTTAAATTTTGAATCCCTTGGTATCAAAGAATTAAAACTAAATGTAATTTAATTCCTGAGCCACAATGAAATGTATTAGTTTAAACTCCCACACTCTGTTCTACAGGCCACTGTAGTTCAACCATGTACTGATATCTATTTTAGAATAGATTAAGCTAATTCTGAATGCTTAGTTTGGGTAGACAATGTGACTTTGCCCCATTCAAAATGTGGGATCAATAATTCCTTGCTTTTAAGTCTGCGTGTTTAAGACTAAATGGTGAATGCCTTCCCTGACAAGTGTCCCAATTCGCCTCCTTTGATTTGCAAACCCATTTGTAAGTCGTCTGTTTCCCTCAGGAGTCGAATGTCTGTCACCTCGAGCCAAGCCTTCTATCTGATGGTGAATGACCGGAGTCTGGCGAGTATGTCCCTGACCATGGCTGAGATTTATGCAGAGTATGTGGAGGAAGATGGCTTTCTCTACATGACCTATGCCTCCCAGGAAATGTTTGGCCTCTACCTGTGTGACAGCTGCTCCTGACTGGGGTTTGACTAGGAAGCGGAGTTAAATCAGACTTGTTTTATTCCCCACCCTGCTGTTGCTTCCATTCCTCATGTCCTGTGTGGTGTGGGGTAGGTGACTTTTTATCCTGGAGAAAAGAAAGGTTGAAGATAGCACCAAATGGCTGCGTCCCCTCTTTCTGCCTCACTGCTCCCTGCAGTGTTTCATGCAATTGTAGTCTAGTTGAATCTAGGTTTGAACCAGCGTGGATTCCCTGTAAATTCTGCATGTTCACTAAGAAATTGTGTCAGAGGAGCATCTGACAATGGTCTGGAGGAAACGTTACAGTTCTGTTTTTGACACCTGTCCTACCTATTAAAGTTGCTCAGAAGATAAGCATCTCTTCCACACAATTTATCAAATGGGGTGTGGTGGATGGGATTTCTTTCATTTTTTGAAAATGAGGAAGGGAGAGCCCTAGGTAAGGTGTGTGTGTGGGGGAGGTGCTCATAACCAGTGTCAGCTTCAAAGATGAAATAGCCAAATTCTGGTCAGAAAGCAGACATGTGGTAAACAACGTGAGTTTCACTACAAAGCTGACACACACACTTCTATAATGTGACAGAACCAACGATCACTGGAAGTGATCTAGAAAGCTTCCTCTACAGTGTTTTCCCTGTCAAACATTCCCAAGACAGGGGTTAGATCATAGAATAAAACTCTCGCTACACTGTTTTCCCCATATACTGTGCCACCAAACACCTTCCCTCCCTCCCCCACCCCAAAATCAAATGCTTGCAGGGTTTGATACAAGAGTAAAACACATGGTCTCACTCCACTGTTATCCCTTCAAACACTCCCCCAGGACAGCATGGGGTTAGACAGAGTAAAGCTTCCCTCTACACAGGGTTTTATTCCTTTTCCCCCCCCCAGCCAGCAAACACTCCTCCAGACAGGGTTAGATACAGAGTAAAGCTCCCTCTACACTATTTCCACTTCCCAATCAAACACTCCCCAGGATAGGGACAGCACGGTGTTAGAGACAGAGTAAAGCTCCCTCGAGATGAGCAAGGAGGGAAACTTCTTGGCTGTTCAGCAGTGACCCACCCCCCACCCACATCAGCGTGAATGCTGTTTTGGCAACAAGAAAGCTTCCCCTCTCTGGAGGGCCATCAGCCAGGAGGTGGCAGAAAGAGGATGAAGGACCTTTTCCCTGCGATAGGCAGCCCACCTGACCCAGGGGTGGTGCTAATAACAGACATCGGGGGCTCCATTGTGGGCATGGTTTGGGGTGCTCTGGGATTTGGTGGGGGTAGGGGGGGGGGGTAAAGGGAAAAAATGTTGAATGCACTCATTTTAGCCCCTGGCCCAGTGAGGCAGTAACCTGATCAGCAGAAGATATTCTGCCAAAGCTACACAATCCAAGTTTGCCCCAAAAAGACAGCACCCATTTGGTTAAAAAGGGAAGGGCGACCAGGAACAGGAACAGAGATGTGTAAATATAACTGATCGTTTATTCCTTAAACACCATATATCTCTCACACACACACACAGTGCTACCACACAGCAATTCCTCAAAAATCCGGTCATTCGGTTTCTTTCTCTCTCTCTCTCTCTCTCTCTCTCACTCAGGGCTTTTCATTCTTCCTTGAGAAAACTAAAAAAAAATAAATCCCACGGCCGCAGCTTCTCGGGAGCACCTCAGGTTGGGCTGGACATGTTCCTGTCACTGTTGCTCGTTGTGGGACCGCTGTAACTCCGAGCTGTTTGCCAGGCCTCTCCCTGCACCCTGCATCTCTTCGTAGGAATAACCGAAAACTGTAAAATCGAAGGGGGAAGCAGGGTAAGGGTTTTCATTCATTAGGTGGCATGTTATCCCCTTCATCTTTCCCACCCACTTAACTGATGCTCAAAACCAGGCGTTGCCATGGGTCAACTATTCGGCTACAAGGGGCGTCGCTTCCCCATTGGATTTCTCACCCTTGCTGTCAGGGTTTGTGTGGGTTGGATTCTGCACCACCTCTATCCATGGCGGTAGGTGGTATTGGAAGTGGGTGGGGAGTCTGGTTACCTGTGCCTTCTGCTGCACTGCGATCTGGTAAACCTCTCATCAGACTCTGGGCGCTCAGTGTCTGGTCCAGTGTCGCTTCCAAAGCTGTAAGGAGAGAGCAGGCGGGCAGGGTTAGAGGGGAGCAACACACTGCGTTGTCCCACCCACAAACAGAAAAATAGCGCATGCTGTAAGGCAGGGCAGGAGCATAAACTCTCCACAAACCTGATAGAGAGAAAGAGAGGGAGGGAAAGAGACAGCGAGACAAAGAGAGAGAGAGAGAGGGGGAAAGAGACAGCGAGACAAAGAGAGAGAGAGAGGGGGAAAGAGACAGCGAGACAAAGAGAGAGAGAGAGGGGGAAAGAGACAGCGAGACAAAGAGAGAGAGA